CCCCCAAGGAAAACTGGCAGGCACGAGGTGGGGGGGGGGGGGGGCTAGGCCAGAGCCTTGAAGCAGGGTGGCCTCAAGAGCATCAGGCCACCACATGCTTACCGGATGTCGAAAGGCTGCACAGCAGGGCTGGCACTCGCCACGCGGATGGTGAGGAGCTGCACAGGCAGGCTTGAGTCTGGTGAGAGCTCGTGCTGTCGTGACTCAGTCACAGTTAGGTGCACATCCTGCTGCTGGGCCACGTGCACACGGTATGTGGTCACTTTCATGACCCATGTGTCTGTCACAATCACACGGGCACCCGGAGCGCCCGTGGCAAACTTGTCAATCCTCCTGAACTCGGTGTTGACAGAGGAGGCCACGGCCCTCCAGCCAGACTGTGGAAGGGCATAGAGCGCCAGGGTGCGAGCCAGAGGATGGCGGGCCCATCGGTCCCAGGACCAGTAGTAGATCAGTGTGCAGGCGATGGAGGGGAGGGTTAGGGCCAGCAGCAGAAAGAACCGCCAGGCTTCTGGAGCCTGGCCGGGGGAATACAGCCGCTTTTCTGAGGCCGCAAAACACATGCCCACATAGTAGCCTGCAAAGGACATGGTAAGCCTCAGTGGAAGTCAGGACCACCACGCCACGGTCCTCCCCCCATGTTGCCCATCTGAGGACCACAATGGGGAAGGGACCACTTCCTCTTTCAGTCCTAGGCTTGGCCACCTGAGACTTGGTCAGTTCCCAAAGCAGGTGGTCTTACCTATTCCTGCATCTCCACGGCAGGCTGGGCCCAGCCCTTGCCAAGAGTTGTATAAAATATTAGAGGGAAGCATATTTACTACTTTAGCTTTATACAAGTTATACATGAAATGTTAAACAACTACAAAAACCTACATAAAGAAAACAAACATAATGGTCTGATGTCACCTTACACAGCTCATCACTGGCCTGTTGGGAGCAGTTCCCTGGCCAAATCTTGGCCTCTTAATCCTGTCCCATCCAAGCTAGGTTGTTGTGTACCAGGAAGCAAGCAAGTAATCAACAAAGAATGGAATATGTCACAGACATGAGAGCCAGCTGCAGGTCTCCATAGTCCACACTGGGGACAATTTGAACACCAAAATGAATGATAGTTGGTGAGAGGCAGCATGATAGGTCCGGGTTTGCAAAAAAAAAAAACAACAGCCCAAACAATGTCAGCCAACTTGATACATTTTTCACTTGTACTGACCAGAAACAGAGAAAGGGAGAGGAGAAAGCACCGCCCGCTTGTGGGGAACAGTCACAGAGCAATCTGTTCTCTTCCACCTTTTCCTCCTTTTGGGATTTAAGGCACCTGTGCACAAACGCGCAGTGTGTATCTCAAGCCACTGAATCTGAGACTCAAACAGTACAATTAGCCATGTGGAATCTGGCTGCCTTTCCCCGGGTCATTGACCCAGCCCCATCACTTCACTTTAAGGCAAGCTGTTATGTAATAATATGTAATTAATTTGCATAAAACTTGAACATTGCGCAAAACAAGTTAAAAATAAAAGGGGCGACATTGGGCTGTGTGGCTGGCTCTGCTATCTGTCCAAGTGTGGCTCTGTGAGTCACTCATGCTCTCAGATTTCAGGCTTCCTGTGCGTGGGATGGGCACTTCACAGGCCTGTGGGGAGGTACAGCTAGAGGGGCTCCAGGACCCAGCCCATGGTCCTCCATGGAACAATCTGGTCAGGATATCCAGCTTGAGCCCTGCTTTCCTCATATGCCTTACTGAACTCCAGGTCCTCAGCCTGAGTAACCAATTTTCTCCAGCAGCCCCAAGTCTGTCTCCTGAGTGGTCTTCCTCTCTCCAGGCCCAGGCTGCTGTAACCTCACACCAGCAGGAAACCCTCTCTGTGTCCACAGAGCTCCAGTCATGGCCAGACACCTGTTCTCCCAGGGCTGCCTCTGCAAACCCCCATCCTCCAGATATCCCACCCAACCCCTGCCAGTTTATCTTCCAACCAGCTGATGGAGCAGCCTCCCAGAGGCTCAGGGAGCACCTGAATCACTGACCAGAACTGCCTTGGATAACTTCAGAGCACTCTGGCCAGGCACTGAGGCCCCTCCTCAGCATTTGCATCTGTGGTGCCCCCAAGCAGGAACTGCCTATATCTCTGCCTGCCCTCTCCACACCCACCTTCTAGGATTCAGCCTCCAGACCCTTCTGTTGAAGTCAATCAACACCTATCCTCCTGGCAGGAGTTCTCCTTCCCCTGCCCTCCCATCTGCCCACCCCACCTCTCTCTCTCTCTCTCTCTCTCTCTCTCTCTCTCTCACACACACACACACACACACACACACACACACACACATGCAC